ATCCCAAACACTTCTGGTCCCAAGTATTTTGGATAAGGGAAACTCAACTTGTACCAATGCCAATAACAGGAACATCACTAATAACAAGAGACTTTCCTGTTTATCCAATGGCAGAAAATATATTTTAAATCATAAATGATGGCTGACACCTTAAATAATGAAAATGAAATTGCCTCAGTACAAAACAGATTTGAGAATGTTCTTCTGCTGAGGACAACAGAGTCTATGCTGCATAAAGTCATCCGCGCTGCTTTTTAATTCGCAAGGCCTTTAGGTGTCACATCACATGGGGGCTGTTAGAAAAGGAAAATCTGATTTATAAACAAGAAGGAAACCTGAAGATGCTTTCCAGGGGGTATGTTGCAGCAAAAGCAAGGGAGAAAACACCTTGTGGCCCTTTGTTGTTGTGGGCCTCCAAGTCATTTTTTGACATATGGAGACCCTACGGCAGGTTTTCTTGGCAAATTTCTCCAGAGGGGGGTTGCCATTGCCATTCTCTGAAGCAGAGAGAATGTGACTTGCCCAAGGTCACCCAGTGAGATTTTATGCTCAAACGGGAAATCGAATCCTGAACTCCAGAGTCATAGTCCAATGCTCAAACCACTATGCCATGCTGGCTCGTAGCATGTGTCCCTTTATGAACTGGCAAACTGCAGTCCATTTTCCTTTCTGAACAGCCACCATTTGAGAAGATATGTATTCTAATGTCTTTTTATGGGAAAAACAATTTTGTCATTTATGCCTACAATCCTATGAACAGGGAAGGACTGAACCTAAGACCATACGTTTCATACCAGCTTCTCCTACTAGTCCTTCTAGTGCTTGATTGTTGTTGTTGTTGTTGTTATTATTCTTGTTATTGCTGCTATTGCTGTTCTTGTGTGCCTTCAAGTCATTTACGAATTATGCTGACTCTAAGGCAAACCTATCATGGGTTGTTTGGGAGGGGGTGGGTGGGTAAGTTTTCTTCAGAAAACTTCTTTGTTTTCCTTTGAGGCTCAGAGAGTGCGACTTGCCCAAGGTCACCCAGTGGGTTTTCATGGCTGAGTGGTGATTTTAACCCTAGTCTCCACAGTCATAGTCCAATGTTGAAATCATTACACAACACTGGCTTTCAGTGCCTTGTTACTGTCATTTAATTTTTTTCAAAATTATATTGAAAAAGTGGATTGATTCTTCAAGTGTGTGATGAAATTTCCAACCAGTCAGTAGTACCCTTTTATTATCTCTATCATGGTTCTTGGATTATCATTTAAGAACCACCTATGTATAGACTCATTTGCAACAGGGTGGCCCTACATGCTACTTCATAGAGGACTGTCCTTGATCTGAAAGACTCCCATTCCAAATTTGGCTGGAAGACAAAGAATCAGAAGAAAGGAAAGGGTGCTTAAGGTGGCCCATATTCAGTTAGCACCTGTTCGGGTTTAACTAAAGTGTCATTTGCACACAGGAGAAGAAGAAAGGGTGGACATTTCCATTTGATTTCCTTTCAACTAGCAAAGTAATTGAAAAACGTTGAAAGATTTTTTTTCTCTATAGAAAAAAAAATCCATGGCAAATGACTTCCAATGAAATGGCATAAATGGGAAGGCAATGAGGTCTTGGGGGACTGGGTCTTGTCAGAAAAGCCAAGAAGGGAAAACTTTGCTCACTGTCCTTCCACCTTGTCTCTTTTTACAGCTGAGTAGCCCAGTTCTGGAGTCTGACTCACACACGCCTAGAAATGTACTGGTAAATGGAAAAGAGTCTTACAGGTTTTTTTTTTTTAAAAAAAATCAAAACATTTCATTACTCTTGTTCTGCTGTTTCTGTTTCTAAGCTTCAGCTTTGATTAACTGCGGCAGAATAATCACTACTTCAGTTACTAGCTTTCTTCTTCTTCTTCTTCTTCTTCTTCTTCTTCTTCTTCTTCTTGTGTGCTTTCAAGTTGTTTCCAACTTATGGCAACCCTAAAACGTACCTATCAAGGGGCTTTCTTGGAAAGATTTGTTCAGAGGAGGTTGGCATTGCTGTCCCCTGAGACTGAGAGAGTGTGATCTGCCGAAGATCATCCAGTAGGTTTCATGGCTGAGCTGAGAATCAAACCCTGGTCTCCAGAGTCATAATATCTACCAGCCATTAATCAAGCCTATCCTGAATAATAAAGCTGATCCCTAAGGGGGGAAATCCTTTTTAAAATGTAAGATTGTTTTCATTTAATTTATCTGAGGGACTTCTCTCTCTCTCTCTCTCTCTCTCTCTGTGTGTGTGCGTGCACACATGCCCCAAACTAGGAAAAGGGATGGGGATAACGTCTTGGAGGAGGTAGTGGGTGAGCAGTCCCAAGGTGCTGTGTGTGATAAGTGCACAAATGAAGTTTGCAATGCCAGAAAGGTTCCAAAGTATGACAGGGAAGAGAGGAAAGGATTGTACAGCACTTTTGAAAACAACCCTATTTTAGGAGAAGAACCTGATAAGTCCAAAAGTGGGAGTTGATTCAATCCCAACATGACATGGAAGCTACCAGCTGTTGGTGTTTAAGTCCCAAACTCCTGTTTGTATTCTAATCTGATAGATTCCATCTGTTACAAGTGCTGTCTCCACTGATCATTAAAAACTGAAGACAACTGTTCATCTTCCCCCGTGTACTCTGAAGATGCAAAAGAAACTTCCTATCCTCACTGTAATAATCATTACTCCAGTAGTTATTGTGTATATTATTAAAATTAAGTAGTGGTACTCATTTTTTAAAATGAAAAAAGTTTTCATCAGGTTTGGGGGAAAAAACACCCATTTATTTGATTAAATTGGGGATTTTTGTTTAAAATGTTTGCATTAGTGTGAATCTTGTCTATTATATTAATAATATGAAACATTCTTTTAGGTATTAGAAAGCTTGTTCAGCCATGTTTTAATACTTTCTATCATTAACAATACAAAGTTATTAGGCTTTGATATGATTTATATCTTTCAATAAAACACTGGGAATTATATTGACAAGTTGGTAGCCTAAATATAGGACTACACCATATACACCTACTATATATAGCACTACACCAATATAGGACTAAATCAGAGAATTAAATAGCAAAATGAAGTTCCAATGTTATGGCCAATATCTTAAATAATAATTGTTCTTTTAAAGCATTTTGGTTCAACTTATGTTAACTGAAGGATTTATTTCTGAATAGCATTTGTTGCAGTATAAAATAAAGCAAGTAAAAAGAAGGGTACCAGTCTAACAACGAACAGCTGCCAATGAACTGTTAAAGTTAAAATGTTTGAATTCAAATAGTCATTGTTGTTCCAGTAAGAGGGTTGGAAAATGGTACTTAAAACTGACTTAAAAAAATATGACAAAAAAAAAGAGAATAAAAAAGGATTAAAAAACAATAAGGGAAGCTCCCCGCATCATTCTTTGAATTATTAGATCAATTTACATTAGTAGACATTTGGAGACAGAAATATGGGTCATCTAAAGAATTTACTTTCTATTCAGACAGACACTCCTCTTTTTCATGTATAGACATGTTCTTTAGTTCTGCGAATTTGAGCAAAAATATTATTAATATGGAAATACTACCTAAAAGTTTTACTTATCACAATCCTTTTGTACTAAATTTGAAGAATAAGACATGGGAGTATCATTGGAGACTTAACGAGGAATTATTACATAATGATCAGATAATTAAGGAAGCTAACTATACTTCCAGGAGAATACGAATGGAGAAACAAATGCGGGAATTGTGTGGGAAGCAAGTAAGGTTGTAATGTGGGGATTTTTCATAAAAAAAGATAGAATTAAAGAAAAAAAGAAATGAGAGAATTAAATAAATAAATAAATAAATTAGTAGAAAAGAGGAAGAATCAGAAAAAGGAGGTGAAAAGAAAAAAATACAAAGAGAAATTAAATTATTGCAAAAACAACTAGAACTGGAGTTCTTTGTAGAAATGAGGAAAAAATTGTTAACAACCAAACAAACACAATTTGAACAAGCTAACAAACCAGGAAGGTGGTTGGCATATCTATTGAGAAAGAAGGCAAAAATGAGGCTGATTAACAAAATAATAAAAGGTGGTAATATTATTTCAAATCAAAGAGAAATAAAAGACATTTTCCAAAGATATTACTCTAAGATATACAAGGAAAGAAAAGTTAATAAAGAGGAAATTAATGAGTTTTTAAATAAATATAACACAAAACAGATTAAAGAAGAGGAGAAAGAAAAACTTAATAGACCGATAACAAAAATGGAAATCGAAGAAGCTATTAGAAAATGCAAATTGAATAAATCACCTGGGCCAGATGGCTTCACATCTCTATATCTTCTTCTTAGAGCAACTATGGGCACAGTTTCAAAGAACAGTAAATTCAATATTAGAAAATGGACTTCCACAATCTTGGCAAGAAGCAAATATTTGTTTAATACCCAAAGAGGACAAAGAAGAATTAGAACCTCAAAATTTTAGACCAATCTCTTTGTTAAATATAGATTATAAGATTTTCATTGCAATTTTGGCAACTAGATTAAAAGAAAGTTTACAAGAGGTGATTGGAAAAGAACAACACGGATCTCCCCAATAGATGTTTAAAGGATAATTTAAGAGCAATAGTAAACACTATCAAATTTGCAGAAAGACACCCAGATAAAAAGGTGGCCCTAATATTTTTAGATATCAAGAAAGCCTTTGACTGTGTAAATTGGAAATTCATGTTTGAAATTTTAGAAAGAATGAAATTGGGAGGTAAGTTTATACACTGGACTAGAGAAATATATAAACCTCAATGGGCTAAAGTCATAATCAATGGAGAGAAAATGAATTGGATAAAGATACAAAAGGTTACAAGGCAGGGATGCCCTTTATCATTGTTATTATTCCTGTGTGTTATCAAAATTTTTATTGACCTTATAAAGAAAGATGAAGAGATTAGGGGTTTAAAAATTGGAAAGATGAACACAAAATTAGAGCATTTGCTGCTGATATTGCTCCAACACTGGAAGAACCAGTAGAAAGTATGCAAAAAGTAAAAAGGATAATACACAAATTTGGAGAAGTATTGGGTTTAGAAATCAATAAGGATAAAACAGCAATGATAACTAAGAACATGACAAAAAAGGAAGAAACAGAATTTTGTGAAAACTCTGGCTTCAAAATTAGTAAGAAGGTGAAATATCTAGGTATTGTAATAATTAAAAGCAATGCGGACCTATTTAAAAATAATAATGGGAAAATTTGGAATGAAATAAAAAAAGATTTAATGAAATGGAAAGATCTTAAGTTATCCTTTTCAGGGAAAATAGTTTCAATTAAAATGAACGTATTGCTGAAACTCCTATTTCTTTACCAATCAATCCCAATAATACATAATGAAGTGGTCTTCAAGGAATGGCAAAAGGAAATCTCTAGGTATATCTGGGCTGGGAGAAAACCTAGGGTAAAAGAAAAAAAATTGTTTGATAGTAAAGAAAGAGGAGGTTTGGCCTTCCAAATCTTAAATTGTATTATCAGGCAGCATGTTTAGGATGGCTAAAAGAATGGCTAACTCTAAACAATACAAGTTTACTTAAATTAGAAGGGGAGGAGTTAAAATTTGGGTGGCATGCCTATCTTTGGTTTAATAAAGAAAAAGCAAA